AAAGAACATCTTATGTTTAAGGGATTCTCTACTATCTTAACTTATTATGCCGCAATTAATTGCGGTCCATCTTCTAAAGTGAATAAATATTTTCCTAATATTGAAGTAGTAGAGAGACCTAAAATTAAATTGCCTCTTACTCTAGATCCTAATTGGGTATCAGGATTTGTGGCAGGGGATGGTGGATTTTCTATTAATATTCGAAAAAATAAACAAATTGAATTCAGAGTTCATGTAGCTCAACATAGTAAAGATTCTGATTTACTTAAATTATTTATTAATTTCTTCAATTCAGGAAATGTATATTTAAGATCCAATTTATCGACTCCCCGATGTGATTTTGTTATTCAAAATTTTAAAGATATTATTAATAATGTAATTAAGCATTTTGATAAGTATCCTTTAGAAAATGTAAAACAATTAGATTATAATGATTTTAGACAAGCTTTATTAATTGTTATAGACTCCCTGCAAGAAGGGGAGTCCCAGGGAGGAATCCCAAAATCTGAAAAAATTATCAAATCTGAGGATTTAGATAAAATTAGAGAATTAAAAACAAGAATGAATTCAGGGAGAGTTTATATAAATAATATTTTATTAATATGATTAGGTGGAGGAGGTCGGTACAATATAATTTCAAGTTTTGGGTAGGTCTAATATTAAGGATTCGCTACGCAATGTTATCAATTGGTGTTTTAGGTTTCATCGTTTGGTCGCATCACATGTATACTGTAGGATTAGATGTAGATACTCGAGCATACTTCACAGCAGCTACAATGATTATTGCAGTACCTACTGGTATTAAAATTTTCTCATGGCTTGCTACTCTTTATGGAGGAAGTATCCGATTTACAACTCCTATGTTATTCGCTTTAGGATTCTTAGCATTATTCACAATTGGAGGTTTAACGTTAGACCTTGAAATTAAAAATAATTTCTAGTTGCTCGCTGTATGCTGGAAACTCCTAAAGCCCTGTCTACCTAAATGGTTACAATGACAGGGATATTATAATGGACAATCAGCAGGAAACTAAATAATATAATATTTGGGTTCCTCAGAGACTACACGCGACAATTTTGACCAAGACACCCGCGCCCCGCGCGGCCGTCTTAGCCCGGGCCTGTCTCTTATACACATCGG